CACACCTTAAAATCAGTGTTTTAAAAACACCTTAAACCAAGACTTTCAACTCTAAATAGAATAACACCAAAACACCTTAAATCAAAAAAGAGTCTTTTGGAAGATCTGGGCTGTTGTACATTCATCTCCAAGCAGATGCCTTTGCGGCTGTGTGACACCCCGACAATGGCTGTGCACTCCTTTATTTCGTTATTGACTTGCGTTGCAGGTGGTGATTCTCATGGGGCCAAGTGCACAGCTGGATGCTGACACATACTCTTTTCTTGTAGCTCGCGCAAGATGTCAGAAGCTGCGTTTTCTCGACTGAGGCACGTACAACCCTGCTTGATCTTATTGGTTTTTGTTGTTTGATAGTATACTGGTGGATGGCAATTGTACAGAATTGATGACTGTTGTTGTCCTGGCGTGCCTCTCTACTGAGATTTGTTTCTCAGATACTATGCACATGGGCGATGGTCACAGGAGACCTGTAAAGTGACCACGTATGCCATTGCGTATAACACTTGTTCTTACGCCGGTCGCAATGATGTTTACTTCTTTCTGTCATTGTTAAGCTGTCTTTATCATGCAGCCTGAGTCTCTGTTCTGGTGTCACCTCGCGACCAGCGTATACCCCTGCTAAGGCCCACGGGCCGAGGGGTTTTACTGCTGCTGGATGCGCGCGTGCAGGCTCTTCGGAGCGGCGTATGCATAGCTCTAGCTGCTCTAGCTCTCTTCTTTTTTCTCTTTTCTCATGGATCACGTAAGTGAGCGATTAGATTCGAAGTGCTTTGCATGTCCTTCTCACTCGCGACGCTTGGTACTCGAGCAGCGTTTCAAAGTCACAAAAAGTCACTTTCGAGCTTGTTGGTGGAATCGCAAAATCTGGACGCGGATCAAGGAATTCCGTCCAATTCTTCAGCAACATGTAGCTCCCAAATGTAGCACACAGTCACTGCTTGTCTTGAATACATCTTCGCTTCAAACAATCAAATTGCGGCATGTGTTCTACCAATTGCAGCAGCAGCAGGAACTCTGGAGGCCCCTGGCAACAGTCACCGAAATCCTGACAATTTCCCGACCCAGAAGTGGGCCCGTGGAAAGCACTTTAGAAACTTTAGAATCCGAGTTTGCTCGTTGAGTCTGTGCCGTGTCTGCGGCCGTCCAGCGATTGGACGTGTCCAGAGTCCGAGAAGAACTGGAAGACCAAGCGGGCCCAATCGGGGTTTTCTCATTACACATTCATTACATTGAGGTTTGGGGCCGATCTTGTCATGCTGTGCAACAGGCCCTGGTCCCCACTTTCCGGACAGGTGCGTGCCCAAGCGACGAAGACGTTCTTCCGTCCCCGTGGTGCCGGTGAAGTTAGAGGAGGACGCAAGTCGAAGTGCGCAGCTCCCGCTGGCTACTTCGAGTACGGGGACCGGGAGTAAAGCTTGCAAGGTCTTTTGTCAGCAAGGTCATGACCTCAACTTGGTTCCGCCGCCTGAAAACTTGTCCTGAATCGAAGCGAGTACGCTTACTTCAATGTCGGCTGTGATGTTTGTGGTGCTCAAGTCGTGTGTGATTTTGCGTTCGCGACTTGTTGCGTTAGTGTGTGTGCCCCTCCAAACCCGTGTGCGTTGATGCACTCTGTGCATCTCCTTCGTCGCATGCAAAAGGTAGTGACTTCCTATTTTTGCAAGTTTTTGAAATCTTGGATTTTATGTGTAGGGATCCTTTGACTGATTTTATTGGCTGCTTGCGAGCATGACAAACATGTTTATCGCTTCGTAGCCTCAGGGTCAAGTGGTGAGATTTGAAGCTCAAAGGAGTTTCATAGTCCGCGACCTTGGTCGCGCTCGGAGTAGAGGAGGGTCGCATGGCCGGGGCTGCTCCTCATGGATCCTGAGGCGGAGCCGCGGTGCGCTGAGAAGCTTCAAGCAGTGGGGCTCTGGGGCGATAGTCTTGCCGCCTTGGAACCTGAAGATGCTGAGGGGGTAGCACAACAGCTTGTCGATGAGTTGGGGCTTCCCTTTTATGATGACGTGGTTTCTTGGGTCGCCAGCTGTGTTGCGAACTCGCAGGGAATGCTTGTGCTATCGCAAAGGGCCAGGGGGCTTCATGGCACAGACTTGAACTGGAGACTTCTGCAACACAAGGGAGACGAGCACAAGGATGCCAGACAGGAAGCCCCGCAGCTGGCCTTGGCACTTCCTGAGAAGGGGCGACGCAAAAGGAAGCGTAAGCTGGATCTGGCAGCCTCGGAGCGCGAGCGCCAGGCGGCGGAGCGGCAGAAGCGTGAAGGGCTCTGTGTTCGTCTGATGGCAGTCTTGAGGCGCTTTAATGCTCCCTGCTTGGACGAGTTCTCGGCAGGCTTCGAGCCCGAGAGAGCTTCTGCAGTTGTCGCGGAAGGATTAGGACCTTTAGGAACAGCAGCTTGAAGCGGTACTTGAGATTCTTGGAGGAGTTCATTTTCTGGATGCATAGGGCAAAGTTGCATGACCCGCCTTTTGAACATAGACTTCTTGTTCATGCTCGCTGACAAGCCCTGCGGGCCCACGATCCCCGGAGCTTTCTTGAAATCAATGGCCTGGTTTGAACGAGTTTCTGGATTTCCTAGTGAAGAGCGGATTTCCACCAAGACGGTACTCCTCTCCACTCGGGATATCCTAGTAAAGGAACTCAAGAAGCCAGGGATCCCAGTGCATCGAGCCCCGCGTCTCCCAGGTGCGATGATAGCGGCCTTGGAAAGGCTCGTGTCGAACGAGAAGGAGGCCATGGGGATCCACGCGGGAGCCTATTACAGGCTTCTGAAGTGCTGGGGCACTTTGAGGTATGATAACGTACAGCATCTTTCACCGAGTGCTGTGCGGTTCTTCGCTGGGAGGTTCATGGCTATCTTGGTGGCCCGGAGCGTAGGCGTGTCGAGCTGCCGATTGCAATCACAGAGGACTCCTGGATCAGCAATATATAAGAACTGGTTAAGGGATGGCTGGGCACTCTTCCGGGAGCATGCGGATTTTGAGCGGAACTACTTCTTGCCTGCGCTGAGTGATGACTTTAGCTTCTTAAGAAGAGGATGGCCTCGTATGCTGAAGCCGCCACCCTCACCACAGCTGTGAACCGTCGCCTGGTAGATCTGAGGGCCACAGGCTGATTCCGCAGGAGCTGGTGGAGATGTGGACCGAGCACAGCGAGAGGGCGACTCTGCCCACCATCCTGGATGGGTTCGGCCTGGATCCAAGAGATAGGGATGCACTGGGAAGGTGGCGGCCTGAGGGGAGCGACATCTACAGTAGGAGCTTCTCTGGCAAGATTCGGAGGATTCATCGATACTTCGTTTCGGAGCTGGAGAGGTTGCGACTTGCTGGGGATGTCGATGACTTTGATGTGCTGGATGCAGCCTGACAAGTCTCGTTAGGCGCGCATAACAACGCGAAAGCATTCGCTCCTACCTAACACAACATGCAACTGGCACAGCGGACTCTCTTTTTCCTCGTCCCACTGGCTGAGGTGCATGGAACGTCTGCCCGGGGCGGAGTCCTCTGGACCCCCCCTCCGAACAGCGCGATTTCGCCGGGTGGGAGAGGTGGGTGCTATCGCAAACCCTCTCTACAACTCACTCCACAGGGCATACACTGCGACTGTTCAACGCTGCGGGGTATGTACCAAACGTGCGCTTCCACTCCATTTGTCCTAACGTGCGCACGTGCATTACACTCCAATGGCTGCGTGCACGTCGGGGACTGTCTTCTGAGGACGCTGAGAGAGTCGTTGATGCCTTTTGAAGCGATTGCTGGACTGCGCAGGATCCAATCCTTCAGGAGTCGGAAGGGGAGGATGAAGCTGCTGAGGAGGAGCCTGAGGCTCCAGCTGAGGTGCCAGAGGCGACCGACCGGACCTCAGGGTACGTCCTGGTCTTCTCGAAGCGAGGGGCAGCGCGGCTCCACCGGGCCGGGAAGGAGGGCTGTTGGATGGCCCGTATGAGGCACTTCAATGAATGCCGGATTGTACAGGAGATGCCAGAGCCTGATGAATATTCTTATCGATGTAGATTGTGCTGGCCAGGGCCGGAGGGGACAAACGACTCGAGCGATGACTCGAGCCAGGAGTCGTCTGGCTCGGCTTCGCCGGGTAGCGAAGTTGCACAAGGCTCGGGCACAAGTCCCCAAGCGTCCTGGGAGCTTGGGATGAAGAAAAGAGAGGATCGTGCGATCTCTCGGGTGCAAGGCAGCTGAGTGAGTGCGTGATGGGAGACAGGGAAGCGCGTTCTTCCCTTGTGAGTTGACGGGCAACTGCTTGTACCCGGCGCAAGGCTCATGGTCAGCCGTAGGCAGTTCTTCTCACGAGATGCCGCACGTGGGTCTAGGATCGCCTAGACCTTCTTCGATTTGTGAATTTCTTCATGCCATTCTTCTTTCATGTCTTAGGTTAGTGCGGGGGCAGGGCTCTGCTGCGTCTCGGACATGGCAAATGCGGCGCCCCCAGCACCGGCACCACCGGATGCCTTGACTCGGGGGTCATCGGACCTTCGTTTCTTGCTCCAGCGGCAGGGGATACAGGATGATCACCAGCGGCGGCTCTTGACTGCCGGGGTGGATACTCTGGACAAGTTTAGTGCTTTCGCGACGGGGGAAGCTGACCTGCTTGCAGTCTTGAGGGATGAGTTCCGGTTGGATCCCACGACCGGCCTTGCGGCCCGGGGGCAAGTTGCATCCTTCGTTGCGGCCTGGTAGGCCTCAAAGGTCCGTGTGCAGCGGCAGGCAGAGGTGGAGGCAGAGCGGGACACCAGAGAATGGACCAAAGCCTATTCCTACAGCGCCAAGCATATGTCAGGACCTATGGCACTCTCGATGGACGCGTCTTGCCATCAGAAGGATTTCTGGAAAAAAAATTGATGGAGGTGGAACATGGTGAATTTAAATCCGAGTCCCTGCAGGAGGTGACGACACGTGACGAGTTTGACCCTGACACTTGATGCCGGTCTGGGACTCCAAGGGTGTCATGACAGTCAAGCGCGGCAGTTCCCGGGTCCCTCTGCCTTCGAATCCGGAGGAACTCCGGCGACTCAACATCATGCGCAACACACTTACTTGATGCTGAAGCTGAAGTGACAAACTTTACATGTACATGCAT